GTAAATTAGTTGAACGATTCTCCTGTATAAGATAAACAAAATATAGTTTGCTTTGGTTAGATCAACTCAAGTTACATGGGGGTACGTTAGGTTAGGTTAAGTTTCATTAGCTTAGGTTAACTTTCATTAGGTTATGTTAGGTTAGGTTAGGTTAGGTTACAGTAGGGTGCATTAGGTTAGGTTAGCATTAGGCTGATTAATCTCAAGTTGAAATAAACTAAAGGGGGCTAATCTTCCAGTGATGCTAATTGCCTGTTGAATCACTAATTTGTAAACGCTGAGGAACGCGAGCAGAAACTCTCCCCGATATAACTTGCTGCGTGGGAAACAAATATATTGTCTCCGGGGTTAATTTGCATTCCAAAGTTTAGACCGGTTCGAGTAGAATAAAAATTAGAATGGGGAAATTGCTTCGTTAATGGTTATTGAAATCTGCCTAAAGTGCCTCTCTCTCTCTCTCTCTCTCTCTCTCTCTCTCTCTCTCTCTCTCTCTCTCTCTCTCTCTCTCTCTCTCTCTCTCTCTCTCTCTCTCTCTCTCTCTCTCTCTCTCTCTCCTCACCATCTCTAATGTTTCAACTTAATCTCTCTCTAGTTCCTTCCTCTCATTCTCTCTCTCTCTCTCTCTCTCTCTCTCTCTCTCTCTCTCTCTCTCTCTCTCCTCTCTCTCTCTCTCTCCCTCTCTCTGTTTCTCTCACCTTCTCTGTGTTTTCAACTTAATCTCTTTCTAGTTCCTTCCTCATTCATTCATTCTCTCTTTCTCTTCTCTCTCTCTTCTCTCTCTCTCTCTCCTCTCTCTCTCTCTCTCTCTCTCTCTCTCTCTCTGTTTCCTCTCCTTCTCTACAATGTTTTCCAACTTAATCTCTTTCTGGTTTCCTTTACCTCTCATTCATTCATTCTCTCTCTCTCTCTCTCTCTCTCTCTCTCTCTCTCTCTCTCTCTCTATCTCTCTCTCTCTCTCTCCTGTTTCTCTCACCTTCTCTACAATGTTTCAAGCTTATTCTCTTTCTAGTTCCCTTCCTCTCATTCATTCATTCTCTCTCTCTCTCTCTCTCTCTCTCTCTCTCTCTCTCCATGCCGTCAACAGGAATACCTCACGCTTGACTTACCTCAGAATTAGATATCAGTTTGCTCACTAAGGCGAATTTGTGCCAAACTTTGCAAAATTTTGACCCAACGCCGCAACTTTTTCTCGTCTGCCCAATTTTATTTACGTAAAAGATGTGAACGGCTCTGTCTGTTTACGTAAGGGATGTGAACGGCTCTGTCTGTTTACGTAAGGGATGTGAACGGCTCTGTCTGTTTATGTAAGGGATGTGAACGGCTCTGTCTGTTTATGTAAGGGATGTGAACGGCTCTGTCTGTTTACGTAAGGGATGTGAACGGCTCTCTGTTTACGTGAGGGATGTGAACGGTTCTGTCTTTGTTTAATGTGAACGGCTCTGCCTTTTCCATATCACAGAACGGATGATTATTGATATGCATTGGGTGTGTAGATCAACCTGTGTGTACGTGTAGGTCAACCTGTGTGTACGTGTAGATAAACCTGTGTGTACGTGTAGGTCAACCTGTGTGTACGTGTAGATAAACCTGTGTGTACGTGTAGATAAACCTCTGTGTACGTGTAGATAAACCTGTGTGTACGTGTAGATAAACCTGTGTGTACGTGCTCTTGATATATATATAGTAATTTTGTGTATTATAATAACATACTTAAACGGTGACGAAATACGACCAGACTATCACACTGACAATTACAAAGTCTTAAAAATCAGTCGATAAAAATAAAATTAAATAATAAACAAATGACAATAAACAGTATAGAGTAAAGACAAGAAATAAAATAAACTGGTCTAGTCTAATGGAATTGTATGTTTGGGTATATCTCTTATTTTGCTTTTCTTTGCCATTTCACGTATTGTGTTTCGTTACTATTTGGGTTTTAGTTATATTGTTTATTTTACGTTATTTTGTACAGGTGGGAGTCAGGTTAGTTAATTATGATGGGCAAGACAGGTGGACGTGTGGGGGTGATACAAATGGTTGTTGTAGTGTATAGATAGTATTGAGGGTGAGGACTCTTGTATACTTTATTGATCTATACATACATACATACTTACATACATACATACATACATACATACATACATACATACACCTACACACACATACATACATACACACATATACACATACATTCACACACACACACACACACACACACACACACTGGGAAATGGTTGAACTAATGAACCAGACCTAGACACCTTGGGAGGCAGTAATGGGGTCACCTGTTGGGGGATACACAGGTGTGCCGGGAGTCATGGACGGGAATAAAGCCAGGAATGGAATGTCGACCACAAGATGAATCACCTGTGTGTGTGTGTGTGTGTGTGTGTGTGTGTGTGTGTGTGTGTGTGTGTGTGTGTGTGTGTGTGTGTGTGTCTGTGTTCTACATAAAGTGTCATATATATTTGTTAATAAAATTTTAGCATTAATTATTTGTACTGTATTTCATCTAGTTTATTTCAATGTAAATTTTACATGTAAGTATGTCTTGTCCTCACATGTAGAACACAAGGGTCTGTTTCAGAGATTCACTGTCCAGACTCGGCCATAAATTTACTTGAGGTGAATCACATAATACTGGACTCGTATTCTTGGCACTTAGACTGACTTTAACCCTTTCGATGTGATTTTCGCACTTTATCATTTTATTCAGCTTAGGGAAATTTTCAGCAACCAAAGAGTTAAAACTTATCTCGATTAAAGAAAGTGATAAATTGTTGTGAGACTTTACCTAACCTAACTAGATACTGGAAATAAGCATCTGACAGCTTTGCCGGCTATCCTTGGTCAAATTGCCTTACTGTTTACCTCAACTGTGTAGGCATGTAGGAAACTGTATGTTCCCACGGTTTATGTATATAGTTGTACAGTATACCTGCAGTGTGTATACTCATGCTGAGCTGTATACCTGCATAGGTTATATATATATATATATATATATATATATATATATATATATATATATATATATATATATATATATATATATATGCCTATCCAATTGTAAATCTGTATGATGATTTTAAGGGATAAATATTATTATTATTATTATTATTATTATTATTATTATTATTGTTATTATTTGTTTATTATTACTATTATTATCATTATTATCATCATTATTATTATTATTATTATTATTATTATTATTATTATTATTGTTATTATTATAATCATCATCATTATTACCAGTTAGGAGGGATGACTGTGAGAGTTAGTGTGTGTGAGGGAGATGAGACTCAGAGTCACACCTGAGAGAGCCTTAACGGTGACCTGAGGGAAGTGACACCTAACACCTGGTCTGGGGACGATGAATTATGGGATCCCTTGGTGAATGTGAGGTTCATACGGGGTGATGTGTGGGGAGGGGGGGGTAGAGAGACAGGGTGATGTGTGGGAGGAATGAAAGAGAGGGCAGGGTGTGAGGGGGGTAGAGAGACGAAATGTGTGGGAGATAGAGAGGGCAGAGAATGATGTGGGGAGAATAGAAGACAGGATAGATGTGTGTGTGGGGAGGAGGAGGGTAGAAGGGGTGAAGGTGACAATGTGGGGAGGGGGTGATGTGTGGGAGAGAGAGACGGGGTGATGTGTGGAGATGAAGGTGATGTGTGGGGTGGGTAGAGAGAGGGGGCAGTGTGGGGAGACGGGGTGGGAGAGAGAGGTGAGAGAAGGAGAGAGTTCGTAGATTATGTATTTACCGTATTAATGTTTTCTATAATATAATTTTTTTCTTAAAGGAGAAATAAAAAGGATGGAAGATTTCAGGAAGGAAAGTTACGTAGAAAGGAGGAAAATAATTTTATAATATTTGCTAAAACTTCAGTTAAATATACCATACTCTGTGTGTGTGTGTGTGTGTACGTGTAGGTAGCCAGGCAGACGTAGAGATATACAAGTTTAACTTAAAGTTACTGTAGATTCATGAGGTACTCCAACATGGCATGAGGCCTGACACAGAGCGCCGATATATCCCTTCACCTTAAGACTTAATCCCCGGAAACTTCTGTCACTTGAGAGAAATTTCTCCCGCTCACAGCCGACAGAAACTCACTAATGGAATTCTCACGTCTCAAGAGAGCTCACTGTAATTTGCATATCTTAATGGATATTACATGATGCTGTAACGCTATACTGCAGCATTCCTCTGCTGTATTAATGTGGTGGGGCGTCACTCCCTCACCTATACGCCTCACACAGAGCTCTCAAGGCGTCTCTCAGTAAGATGCCGTTGTAACTAACCTAATTTTGTCCTTTCACTTTTTGTTTTGTTTTTACGGGGATTAGCCCACCCGGGCACAGGTCACTGACCCACATCGGGGCCTGGGGGGCGAAAATGTAATAATAATAATAATAATAATAATAATAATAATAATAATAATAATAATAATATTAAATTACAAAAATGAAAAAAAAGATCAAGAGTGAGAAACAATATATGTCTGTTGTGTTGTCAATGGTAAGAGAAACAATTGAGACCCTGCAATTGTGTGTAAATGAGGCAGAAAGTCAGATCAGCAACCTGGGACTTAGTCACAATTTTTGTGATGCCATATGGCAGCAGGGTCTACCATTAGACAACACATTATGCTTCCAATATAATACTTATGTGGAGGATCTCTTTGTATTACACACACACACACACACACACACACACATTTAAAGGAAGGATTAAAAACAATATATTAGTGACTGAAGTTTAATTTATAAACTCAATGATTACAGTTTTTAGTTGCAGCTGGTAATCTTTAAAAATATATATATTGCTTAGAGTAGAATAGTAGAATATAATCAAGTGGATGACCTTGTCATAATGTAACATTTTATTTAATTCTCTGTCTGTCTGTCTGTTTGTCGTTACTAACTCATGATTCTACCGTATCTTTATTATTTTACGATTATGCTGTGGTCACTCACCTCCTCCTTCACTGTTGCAGGTGTTGGCCGCCAGGATGTCTCCTTCACAGCAACACAGCGCCTCCCCAAGCGATAACAGCAACACCATCGGCGGCAACAGTAACAGCAGAAGCACAAGTAAGCAGGTGCGCTATAAGGGGCTATTCACGCCTCAAGTAGCCCCGACCACCCGAGCCTACTGCCTCCTGCTGAGCTTCCTGCTGGGGACACTCATGTTAACGGCAGGATCAGTGTTCTATCATGTGATCCAGAGTAAGCCCATGAGTGGTTCACATCCTATGCACACGCCGCCCCTCCCCCTCGCCCTCTTCCTCCTCGCCGCTGGGATCGCCACCCTCCTTTCCTGCTTCACCGTCGCCTGGAAGTAAGTAATACTCTTGTACTGTACTGATGGGGTAATACTCGTACATCCGATTGAGCGTTTTACCCTTAAATACTCTAGGTCAAGACAAAAATTTTAGGCGTTGAGTATTACCCTTTAAATGTTTCATATTGTAGGATTTACGGCCGGAGTGTTAATACTCAAACTATTCCATTCTCTAAAAATACAAAGTGTGAGTGAGTGTGGGAAATAGACCTGCCTGCCGCCGTTGGTTGGTAAGATGTATGGCCGGAGGTCAAATCATAGTGGCAGAGAATTAAAAGGTGTCATACTTGTCATATTATTATACTGAGAGCACAAGTATGTCAAGGAGGTAAGGTTACGGTTAGGATCAAGGCCAATTAATGTATATATTTTAAACGGTACGTGAAGTATTATACTTATGAATTACTAAAGAAAAAAATATATTACATGGAAAATAAACAAAACGATGAATAAATTTTCTGAAGAAGGTCAATAATCTAAATAAAAATCAGATATAACCTCTTGGAATTTCCCTTTATTCTCATAATGGAATTTGATTGGATACGTCGGCTGGCTCTCGCGGGCTGCAGGATGTAATATGACGGTTTTATTAGCGGGCAGATGGCAATATAGACACGCTCGTCAGTCATCATAGAAAACGTGAGGAGGGGGAGGACTGTGATATTGATTATGTTATTCATCTGAAATACTTCGTTTAGTTAATAGCATCCTTAGAGACATCTTAATAAACGTCTCTGCTCACCAACCCTGAATTATTGGTGGTAAAAACATTTCTTCCCTCGGGAGGAATTGTTATAACACCAATTATTTTTTAGTGTCGACTGTGGTCATGGTAAACCTCGTATGTTTTATCTCTCATAATTGTTGATATAATAGTGTAATTACTAACTTTGTTACACGCTTAAAGACCTTAGTTGTTGAAGCGCAGTAATAACATTACAGCAACAAAAGTGGTCATGTTGGTAACACTGTCTGCTGATTACTTCCCTACCGCCTATCCATCTTCCCTGTCATCTATCCACCTTCCCTGTCATCTGTCCACCTTCCCTGTCATCTATCCACCTTCCCTGTCATCTGCCCACCTTCCCTGTCATCTATCAATCTTCCCTGTCATCTGCCCATCTCCCTGTCATCTATCAATCTTCCCTGTCATCTATCCATCTTTCCTGTCATCTGTCCACCTTCCCTGTCATCTGTCCATCTTCCCTGTCATCTATCCATCTTTCCTATCATCTGTCCACCTTCCCTGTCATCTATCCCACCTTCCCTGTCATCTATTTATCAATCAGTAACAATTTTGGTTTCCTCCCGATAAATTTACTTAAATGGATAGCTGTCAATTTTGGCGTGAAAGTGTATTATAACAGGCTCTTGCTGTTAACCTCCCAAGGCACTTCAGAGCTACAGGTATATTAGGCTGTGGGATGAGCCATAGTGTATATACATGGCTCTCGTTCCCATCAAGAGTTGTAGTTGATTATAATATTGTAGAAAAAAAAATCACTATCCAGACATCTTGATATTGAAGAGTAATTTTCTTTGGTGAGCTTCTTGACTTCATGCTTGGTAACTCTTTCGTGTGTTTGTCATGATACTGACTGAATACAATATTATTTGTTTTTGAGTCTCCGGTACTGATGTTTAACAGAATATGATACAAACATTATTTTGAAGTAAGATGATGTAAATGTTGATATTAACTATAAATACTTCACTAGGTCTTGAGGAAACAAATTAACATACAGACAGCAATCATTTAAACATATTTGGGCGTCAACAAATTACAATGATAGAATATTATTGTGTAAATCTAATTTCCTAATTTCTCCTGTTGTTTATATCGCTGAAAGAATGAACGTTTATACTTTAGTTATATAAAAGTTAGTAAATTTACCACTGTTGCACCTGCTGATAAGTGATATTAACTGGTTCCGGTGCTAATTAGTGTGACTCCCGCAGGTACGGGTTCGATGACGGTGACGAGAGCTTGGAGGAGGACCTCTACTCATTCGCCAAGGACGACGTGCTGGACCAGCAGTACAGCAGTACCTGTGAGACCCCCAAGGACCCTCCGGTATGAGCCCCGCCCCCCAACAACCTCCATCTTGGACATCCTGTTGAATCCCAAGTTGATCCACCAGTTGAACCCCCAGCTTAAACATTCAATTGAACCTTCAACAGAAACCCACAGTTGAACCACTGAATTTAATCGCCCCACTGCACCCTCAGGTTCAACCCCTAGTTGGAACCCACTTCTTGAACTTCCAAGTGAAACCCCAGCACCCAGTGAACCCCTGACTGAACCACCAATTTAGCAGTTATCTTGAGCCCCTGTTGAAGCTCTCACCATAATTGTTTCGTTTCAGCTTTTAATACAACGTGTATTTAACAACCAAAGTGTAATGTTTTTGTGATAATATTTTTGTTTTTAATTTTTGCTACAGCTTAGCAGCTTTATAGTTTTACTCGTCGTGTTTAAGTTAATATGATAACACTTTTCTTCCCTAAGTTAAATAAGAGAAGGGTTGACCTGATCGATGACGTCACAATAGAAAGGTCAAGAGATGATCTAATATGCTGACCTCTTCCCTCATCAGTATGACTAACTACCTCGGTTGCCACGTTCAGATGTGCAGCTATTGTAAGTACTGTACTTTACTGAACCAACATTCCCATAACTTACAACCACCACAAGTAACTGTCAACATCTCTATAATAACCGTGGCCACAGTTCTGTAAAATGAATACCAAATATTAACCAGCAGCTACCACCATCCTTAAGTACATCGTAAATACTTGTGCAATCACTGTAACTGATGCTACCACCACCACCACCACATCTCTTGGGTACTCGATCGTCCTGTACTAGTACTATCTGATAACCTTTGGAAACCTTCTGGGGTTTATCTTACAACACTTGCCTCCGTCAGCGACTTTGTCAGGGTGTGTTGTGTGTGAAGACTGGGAGAACAAAACTCCTTCCTCGTTGGTCGATAAGCTGCAGGACGCGTCCAGCAAAGTTTGATGTTGGTAAAAAGAGCAAGTCATTAGTCTCCTGCAGACGAGAGTTTGAGCGATGTGTTGGAATTTTCACCTGTTGCTGACGGCGGTCAAAATCAAAATAAAATTCAAATTCAAAATATATGCAACATTATTACTATTTTCTGGTTATTTTTCTGGACTTCATTACTGATTTATATCTAAAAAATAATGGAAACACAGAAAGTCTAATCCCTCATTTGGTTTTGAATAAATGATCATGTAAACTGTTTGTCTAGTCGCAGTAAATTCAGTGTTTGACGTCACGGGCAGTGAGAATATCAGACGCCTCCCTGTGAGTGTGTGTGACGTGATGTCTCTACCATCAACCTCTCACACATGATATACACCTGACTCACGTGTTCATGCCACAGTTGTATACGGCTGAGGAACCATTGCTCGGTTTAGATTTTCTCCTAATATGCATATCTGACTGAGATCTTACCATTGTTATAGGTAACTCGGATATCGTTATGAGATCATGTATGTAGGCACACCTGAGCCTGTGGCTCAGATATATGTGACTGCAATTGTTTAAACTCCTTCCTGTAATAGCCAACAGGTGGACAAACATTACCTCTGACCTCGTATGCCGCAACTGTTGTTCTGTCATCAAAATGTAATCTCAATACATACACAGATTCATAAACTATACCAAAACAATTTCTAAAAAGATAAAATTTTTGAGAGTAACAAAATTGAACATTTTCATATGAAATTTTCTTCACCAACAATATACTGAACAGTGGATGTTAAATTTTGCAAAATCTCGTCAAGATTTATGAGAATTCATTTCATGTGTGTTGTAAATTTTCCTGGCGTCATTGGACACGTTGATGCTGCGAGAACGTTGTTGGAGAATAAAATATACTGCAATTATCCACAGCTGGCGTCCACTAGTGTTGTCACCAGTGGTTTAATATAACCAGGAAAGGATTAAACGGTTGAAAACATCCATGAACTGAACTAACCGACGGAACCAAACCTCTTTGTGTTGCATTCTCTCTGGCACACAACAAAAACATTTCAAATGGCAAGTATTTCACCCCTTAATGCCCTGCGTCAGAAAGTCTATAGTTCGCCTTAACTATAAATCTCGCTCCACTTCCTGGCAGCCAAACTTCCCTGCAGAAACACATCCTTCATTACACTGAGTTATATAGGGATGGCGTTTACTCATATGCTTATTTGGGCAGAGAGAACGACTGAACCTTAACGTGAACATTGTAACAATAACAAAAGCTCATCACGATGATATACAAAACATGAACCGCATTTATTGTTATTGAGTTTCGAAAAAAAATTTTGTAACGAATATTATACAACTCCTTAAAGCATGTTTAAAATATATTGAAGAATTAAACCACTCTGTTCAAGGGGTAAAAACATTATGTATATATTTAAAACAAATATAATTCTTCACATTTAAAAGTTTAAGCCATGAATCATTAGGTTTTTAACATAAGTTTCAATAATTAGACACCCAGCAGTTAAATAATCATAAGCGTCAAAACAACAATGATAATTAATACATGATTCAGTTTTTTATCGGAATTAAATCCTAAATCACAGTATTGAAGCATCCTTCTGGAGTTAAATCATCAAACATAAGTTATCATTCTCACTTAAATCAACAGTTGTCGTAATGGTAATATATTATCATTGTTAAGCCCGAATTCATCATCCTTAGAAAGATGAGTCTATATTGATTGCCAGTTAAATTATTATTATTATTATTATTATTGAGAGTTTATTCAAATGTTCACTCTAGGGGTTTGAATCCGTCCGACTACTACATATTGTTGATATTCTGTCATTTATAGTTACATGTTCGTGTACAGTCACATAGCGGCCAGCAAGAGATGTGTATTGATGTAAATTGCCTCTAAGCTAACACTGGTTTATCTTACGTGTGTATGATAAGTGACGAATGGACGTGATGGTGATACCTAACCATAATTTACGAATCGTCGGAATTTTTGTATAAACCATTCAAGTTTTATTTTTTCTCCCTTCATTCAATAGGAAGTTTTATTTTATATTTTATGATTTTAATGCATTTGTATATTAAACCAGCGTCCTCAAAAAAGTTAAACCATCGTCCAGAAAGGGTTAAACCATCATCTTCACAGGGGTAAATCATCGTCGGCGTCAAAAGGGTTAAACCAGCATCCTCAAAGGGTTAAACCAGCATCCTCAAAGGGTTAAACCAGCATCTTCAAAGCGTTAAAACCGTGTAGATAATTCAAGGACAGATGATGGTGTAAATCAATGCCTGTCTTTCATATTATTCATGGCAAGGAATTTCAGCCCAGTACACACGTCGGGGCAAATAATGTTGAGATGCATCGATACAAGAGAGAGTAGTTTCAGCTGTTGTTCCCACCACATGTAAATAAAGGGAGATATATTTTATTCATGGATTCGTCTTTTCCTTTTATGCATAGCGGCACCTACAGCCATGATGATAACACCTATTGTTTTCCTGAGGACATTGGTGATAGGGTGTAAATCTGGCTTTATTGTGTGGTGATAGAATCTGAATCTGGTTTCATTGTGGTGATAGAATCTAAATCTGGCTTCACAATGTGGTGATAGAAGCTAAATCTGACTTCTTTGAGGTGATAAAATCTAAATCTGGCTTCATTGCGTCCAACCACGTTAACAAAATCATGGAGAGAAAATAACATCAAAATTTCGTCTTCGTTTATAATTATTAGCGTTTTAATGATGTATATTTATCCCCCTGAAAATATATAATACAACGAAACTATGACAAATATGTCCTGTTTTAATATTGAGAACCATATATACCTGAATTAAAAGTATATTTTCTATACGAAGGTGTAAAATTTCTAGGTATACAGAGACGCTTAATACATTATCATTTCTTATAATTTTCTTCATCAACAACTTTCCTTTATATATGTTCTATGTTGGTGGATTAGTCTAAATACCAAGCTTTTATATGCGCTTAACCTCTTGATTTTAAGCGTGTCTATCGTTAGCCTAATGACATGTTAAAAGTGGCGTCCCGTAGTGAAGCGATTAAAGAATTTAGTTATTGAAGCTCAGTAATAACGTCCCGTGAAGCACAATATCAAATGAGAATGAAGTAAGTTGAAGAGACTGAACTTAAACTTTTAAATTATTAAGTTTGTTTATCAACGCCAAGTGAGTCTACAGTGTTGTGGTTTTCGTTGTTTATTAACGCCAACTTAAACTAATTCCTTGAAGTAGTTTATAATTGTTTACAAGTAAGTTCTATTATAATTGTTAACACGTAAGTTTTATTATAATTGTTTACACGTAAGTCCTATTTACTGTATCAAATCTGAACTTCAGGAAATTTAAAACTCTACTCGTGGAGATAAAAAGAATTAACAATGATTCAAATTCATGTAAATTTATGTAAATGGTTGGCGAACTCACTCAAGCGTGGAAAATTAGCCATAAAACGTTGATTTGATCATTTTACAAATATCCTGAGATTTAACAATATATTGAATGAAGTTAATGTTTCAGTGTTTCTTAATTAAAAGACTACTGTATTAATGAATCATATCACCCATGTAAGCCATTCCCACCTGACCATGACAACCAACGTTTTTTGTACTTATTGTTACTGTATTATCTCAAATTACAAAATCAAGTTACTGTATTACTGTAAATTACAAGATCATTTATATTTTTACAAAACTTAGATGTTGTTATTTTTTACATAAAGTTGAGCCGTGCAAATACAGAGTTGGCACAGAATGTAAATAGAGACATTCCAAAATATGCTCTTTTGTTTCCAGGGCAGCGAAGCATAGGAGTGAAAAACAAAATATATATATATAACAGTGGTCGTTTGATACTAGAATTTATTGTAACTGTTATGTGTTGGTGGAGGAGGAATTGTCGTAACGTAACATAACTTCCAATACTAACGTTACGACTACTGACACTACCAGCACCACCGTAACTACCACTACCAACATATCCACCACCACCACCGCTATACTCCCACCAATAACACACCACTACCACCATAACCACTATTCTTAGCACCACTACCAGCACAAGTACTTCCATCACCACCACTACCACTACTACTACTACCACTACTATCAGAACAACCAACACCAACCACCACCACCACCACCACCACCACCACCACCACCACCACGACCAAACATGAAAGTAGAAATAATAAAACTTCCAATTTAACGAGACAAAAGTAATAGTACCAATGGCAGTAGTTCCCTCATACTGTACAGCATCAGTAACCAATGAGACGAAAACTAGAAGCCAAACGTTTTGTCTTCATAGCATAGAATCCAACCTTCCTTCCTTCCTTCCTTCCTTCCTTCCTTCCTTCCTTCCTTCCTTCCTTCCCCCTTCCTTCCTTCTTCCTCAAACCTCCTTCGCCTCCCTCCACGTCCACTGTGACCTAAATAGTTTAATCCCTCACCCAACACACTACATCATCCCTAGTACGACCCCACGGTACGACCCCTCACTACTATTACAGTATCTCTTTTACGACCCACTACTACCACCATCACCATCGTCGTCATCCATGTTACTAGCACTACAACCACCACCATTACTACCATTATTAATGCTACCACCCTCACTTCACCACTACCACCTCACCTCACCACACACCACCACCTACCTACCACCTCGCCACTACCACCCTCACCTCACTACTACCACCTTCACCTCACCATACCACACCTCACCACACACCACCACCACTACCCTCACCTCACTACACCACCCACCTCACCTCACTTCACCACTACCACCCTTCACCCCACCTACTACCTCACTTCACCACTACCCTCACCTCTCTCTACCCACCCCACCTCCCACCACCACCTCACCTCACTTCCCACCACACCCTCACCTCACCACCAGTACTACCACCTCACCTCACCATGTCACCCCACCATCAATAAGACAGCTCATCCCTCCCCCACCCCCCCCACCCCTCCTCCCCTATGCACCTCGCTACCCGGTATACACTGCCTGGTCGGGGTGTTGTGGAAGACATGTTGTGAGGAGCTTCAGTGTGTCGTTGCTGACGTGTTCTCCATCAACCCAATTAGGCGTCGACCTCCCCTCCCCCATTACGGACAATTAGTTCACCAACCTCGCCCCTCTGAGCCTAATTACTGAACCACAGGGGAGCGGTAGAAGGCGTCCATATGGAGTCTTAAGTCTTCAAGTTATAGGACGCTGCGGCCTTACCAACATGGGACACCCGAAACTTTAAAAAAATTTCTAGTGATTATAAGTGAACAGTGTACTCTCAAATATAGTTGACAACAGTGAGAAATATTTTAGTTATTACTCGTGTATATCAGTTCGACCTGCATGTATTTGGGGAGAAGGTGTATATTATAATAGGCAACAAAATAAGGAAATAAGAGCAATGATACGTGAGAGAGCAATTACTCATAGAGAATTCCTTGTATAAGTATTGAAGCCACTTGTGTTCACGTGTGTGCATTTAATAGTGTTACCATACTGTATAGCAGAGCAGAGAGAGAGATTCATATTCAGTTCACGGTGTAAGGTGCTTGTGGGCCCCTTGTATTTTTGTTGTGATGGCATTTGCATACGGTTCTCTTCCCTAAGCAAGACGGAACGGAGGGAAGGAGAGTATATATGTACGTCACGTGATGCTGTAAATGAAGCACAGATGTTGTCATGGTGACCTTATGTCTTATTTACACTATTTTTTAATGTCTTAGATGTTTTCAGCCATGTGTGATTTTGTTTTTAAGTGATGTCATTTGTTTACATTGATAATTTTGGCGTTTATGTTAGATTTTTACGATATATCAGTGGTATGTCTCGTATATGATGTATTACCTTCGTGATTGCCTTTTCAAATCTATTGTTTGCAACTGGACATATTTTTTTTTTACACTCGATCCACCCAGGCAGTAACAGAACATGTTATGACAAAAACGAATCATGTTACTGACAGTACAAGTTGACCCCATGACGGAAGGCCCATCAAGATTACGAGGTTCAGTAACACTCAAAGTTTCGTGTTTAAAGTGTACCACATGGTGTATAATATACACTGTATATTACTCAGTGTAGTACATAGTGAGACGCCCTCAGATGAGCACGATCACCGAAATCATAATTTTGTATGGATCAAAATATGTGTGATTGTATATGCCTATAAAATATTTGTATATCTAGAATTTTAGGATTTGATTTGAATTTTCTATTTTTTCTTGCGGTTTTCTTCTCCGAGGCGCCCCATATAACCATCTAAGAAGCTTGTAGTCCTTGATCCCCTTCCTTTACATTTATACTCTCTGATCTCTGGGTTCGATTCTCTAACTCTGGATCAGGATTTTCACTTTTTTCGTAAATCTAATTTTCTTTCTAACTGGAGATGTAAAAAGTTCACCTAGCTGACTCACACAAGTTACAGCACTAACCTTGGCAAAGAAAATGGCTCCAATATTACACCGAGACTATAAACTGTTAGTTAGATGCGTTCTCTTATTCACCAGTTAGGAGAAAAGATAATATTTACGTTATATTACGGTCCATTATAAACTTCCAAGAACACCTAATCTCCACTCTTTCTCTCCCTTCCCCTGGTATATGTTTTTTTTTCAACCATGCTCTACATTTCCCCTCTGCTAATTCCTTCTTTTTAACCATTATCTCCTCCTCGCTTTCTTAAACTATCTGGTGTTCATTTATTCTTTGGCTTCTGGGACCTGAAATTAACTAGCTTGTTTTTAATAGAGAATTTCATTGTGTTTATTATTCGCCTGAATCCGTATTCGCTGATGACGCTCCAGGATGCAAACAAATTACGTCACTGCTTAGGGGTTACGTATATATCCATAAAGCAAATCTCAAATGGTCGTTTAGTCTTTAATTCCTACAGTTTGTGATACAGTTGAGCAAAATTTAACAGTAATTTAACGAGAAATTAATGATATAGGACTATAATTTGTTGTCCAATAACTAAACGTTATTTGGATTATGTCACAAATAATTAAGCCTATAAAGTCAGGTATTTCTTGTAAGTTATATTGTAAATTTTATTGAATATTTTGTGGGAGAAAAATGAATAAACTAAATGATAATGAAATATTTGTAAGATGAAGCAGTGACTATACTCTCCCCACCGTCATCCGTGGAGCGTATTCATTTATACCCGCCAACTTGTCACTTCACAACACTGAAAATTTTCTTTTTACGTACAGTTTTATTATTAATCAAACATGTACAGAGTGAAGAAGTGTGTCTTTAAATTGTAAAAAATAATTAGCATTTACAATTGTACTTTTATATGAATAAAGGATATTTGAATATGAATTATTATTGTGTTGTTTTCTTATCCTTAGAACATGGATAGAGAATGAGAGGAGTGGGAAAGCAGGAAGTCGGCCCCATAGGTGTGACTTATGCCAGTTAGGGGCGGTATACAGTATATCCTACACAAAGAGGCAGTGACCGTCTTCCCTTCCCCATCTATCAAATTAGGTGCCCATTTAGTAAATGGCATTTACAGCTGTGTAGACTGAATGCAACCAGCGACGCTTGAGACAGGAGGCGAGCGTTATATAGACACACTCACCACAAACCTCACTGGAAAGGTAGAGAGTTATAAAAGATTGCCTGAATATGAAACGCTCTTGAATGTTATATTGTTTTATGCTGAAGATACATGAAAACTATTTGTAATCAGTTATTCCTACAGCTGTTATTTTATGTGGTGTTACAGTCAATTACAAAATACAATGGAAGCTTCGACTTAACGCAGTTTATTGAAAGGGAGGAAAAATCGAGTAATATTGTAATCGTCACTTGCAATATTTAATTTATTCTATTTACTGCCTTACTCCCTTTAAGGCAGGCATGGGCAACCCGCGGCCCGGACCATGTGTCTGTGCGGCCAGTGGAGTGATTGAGAAATTCTATTTAATACTGCTACTACGTGGCAGTGGGTCACTTAGGAATTAACTCAGGTTGGATAAATCCAAATTAACACACAAACGACTAAATCGCACCTCGGAAATCCATAGCTGGCGAGTAATTAGCATTGAAATAATGTAATTAAAATAATGTTAAATCCCAAGAAACATTAACATATTGCTTAAAAAATTATTATGATGGATTTGTTTCATAAGTAGAAAAAGACTGTGATTGTAAACTGAAAATATCGTCAAGTGGACGTGACGATAAACTGTTTCACTGTCCGTGTTATTAACATTACTTCTGGGTTAAGTACGATTTACATTTTGGTGGGTTGGCCCGTAGAAAAATACCTAAATCGTAATACAGCCCATGACTGAGGAAAGGTTACCCATGCCCTCTGTAAAGGGGTAAGTTACGTTAGTTTAGGCTTGGTAATGTATGTATGTAATGTACAGCTCATAAGACACACAGAATGGCGTCCTCGAGATTCCTAACTGGCAACTTCATGGGGTCCTTCTCTCCCCCACCCTCCGATACATACATTAAGAAAATACATTAAAGTTATGTATCCATGCTCATTCGATCTTAAATTATGCTACCTAAAAATACATTCCCTTTAAATTATCAGACCTTAAATGTTGACAATTAATCATTCATGTTTGTATACTCTAGTTCTTCTATCAATGGTTAATCGACACGTATAATGATGTAAAGCAAAAGATTACATTAATTATTTTCAACAACAAAATTTATCCCGTGTGAATGTAAATAAAGAAATTGTTGAGGATACTAATTTCTCTCATCTGTTGCTTGAGTCTTTGTTCTGGAGGTGGTAATTACAGGTGAGGTGAGGTGTAAGGTGAGGTGAGGCAGGCAGTTGGATACTTACACTCTCTTTGTGGGAGACAGAACCGAGGTAGGGAAGACAAAGAGAGGAGGAGAGAGAAAGAGACAAAGAACAGAGATTGTGAGACAGAGACAAGAAAATAAGCGACAGAATGAGAAAGACTGGGGGAGACGAGGAAAACAAAGGGAATGAGAGAAA